TCACTTTCCCTTTCTCTTTGGTCAAATTAAAAAATTGGTCAAACAACAAATAAAAATAATTATTTTTTTAAAATTTTACCAGAGACACAGAAAGAAAGTGAGAAAGCAAGCCTCTAGGTCCAGGACTCAGACCAGTGTGCCGTGGGGGTTTGGCGCCTTAACCACCTTGCCACCTGCCAGCCCCTGCTACGTGGTTTATGTACATTTCTTACCATTTCCTTCTAGGCTGCCAAGAGATTGCAGAGGAGTTTCGTTCCCAGGAGATCGATGGACAGGCCCTTCTGTTACTTAAAGAAGAACATCTTATGAGTGCCATGAACATCAAGCTGGGTCCTGCCCTCAAGATCTGCGCCAAGATAAATGTCCTCAAGGAGACCTAACGTGGCGGTCTTGCACAAACCAGCCTGACGCACTCTCTCTCCACTGTCCAGGTTACAGCCTGGTACCAGACTTGGCAGGGAAGAAAGCTGTTCCAACCGTGTAACCTTCTCTAAGGGGACTACCAAGCTGGGGAAGAGAACAAGAACTGGTTGCTGGTGCTATGTGGCGGCAGCTTTGACATTCTCTCTGGGCTCTACGTCGTTTTTTTAAGATCTTCACAGTTCTCACCGTTCTCACCTACCCGAATCCGATCTTGAGGCAGTCTGGAGAACTGACTGCTGAGCCTTAGCCTGGAGTGGAGCATCTAGCCAGGGTCTCAGTTCTCCGAGGAGTATGTATGGTAAAGCCAGGACATGGGTGGAATGTAGGTTTGCCTCCCCAATGGGAGAGGTAGGGTTTTCTAGCTTGTGTGACACAAGTAGCAAAATCTGGTACTTCCCCTCTTCCCTCTGGATTGTCCCACCACAGCTGTGGCTGTTTTGTCGTCACTCGCTCCCTCATGGGTATTGTTTTCTGCCTCCGTCGCAGGGCCACCAGCCAGTGTAGGCTTGGTTGGCATCTTCTGCATTTGCTGCAGGGACTGTGTGACCGGCACGAGTGTGGCTGTTAACCATTCCCTGTTTCCCTCCCATTTACCCACGACCTTTGACCTGCCTTTCTTTTTGATTCCAACTCTGCTCTGTCCTATAGCTTTATAAAGCAAGAGCGTGTGGGGCTGAGGGCAGGAGTGTAAGTACCTGCCTTGGGCACTATTCCTTATACAGCAAAATTATTAAATATTTTTTTTCCTCAGTAAAAGAATGAAAATTGGTCTCTGTTGTCTCTCACTCCAGTATCTTTCTTCCTTTCACAAAAATGACTAGCCAACATATTTTTTTTTTCTTTAATAAGTGTTTTTGTACAAAAGTGGTGTCTTTTTCCCCCCATTTTAAAACACCAGGGTCTAGGAAAAGGATGCAAACAATTAACAAAAAGGATACCTTTTTAACATTTTTCCTGCTTAGAAAGAAAATCATTCCAATAGGATTGAAAGTTCCAAAGAGGAAATAATTTCATTTTCTTCTCTCAAGACTTCTAACAGGCCCCCGCCTACTGATTGCATCCCTTGTGTCCAGTGGGGCCACTGTGACAGAAAGATCAGCCCTGGTTTCTGTGCACGTGGCCTAAACAGAAAGATGGAAGCATCAGAGGACTAGAAACCTTTCCCCACAGAAACGCTGTGGGCAAGAAGACACCTTCCTGAGCCAGCAGAAGGGACAGGCGCGGCAGCATCCACACCACCGCGGAGCACGCGGAGCCCTAGCGCCCATCTGCTTCCGCTCCCTCTCCAGGAGACTGAAAAGTTACAACCACATGCCTGTGAAGAAAGTGCAACATAGGTTTAGACACAGAGAGGGAAACAGGAAAGCTTAGCCAGCTTTTACTACAGATGGTGGATGGCCGGCAAGGAGGTCCTACCACCACCGGCTGACTTCCCCTGCCGGGAACCCCGTCCCACAGGAGGCCGGTTTCACTTTCCCTTTCCAATGGACTGGATTTCTGGATGAGGCTTTCTGGCTACGTAAGGACTAATAACCACATGACCACAATCCAGGACTCATTTCCAACTAGAAAGCCCGCCCCCCCATGTCAACAAATGATGTGATGGTACCTTATAACCCTGCAATTGGGGAATTTCACATTTTCCCTGTCCTAATCCCAGAGGTGGCAGAAGAGGTCTAGAACATCTCCAGGCTCAGAGCAAATGTGAGCACTTGGATTACAGCCAAGTGATCACTGCAAAGTCATTCCGAGCAGCAAGAAGTTACATCCAAGATTCTCATGGAGACTACTGTAATGCAGAGTAACAGCAGGAAAGCAAGCAAACCTGTATAAATAATGTTTCTTTTTTAATTAAACAAGTCCAGTGTCTCAAAAACTTGTGAAAATGTGTTTAAAAAAGGGAGCCTGCCACACCACACCCTTCTGCCCACGGTAACGGTTCTACGTGTACCTTCCGATACCGAGAGTGCCACAGCCTGCTCTCCCGGGCCCACCGTTCTACCTGCCTTACAACTGCACGTCTAGAGGAGAAAGCAGACAGGGAGCGAGGGGAAGGCAGTCAGAGAAGACGATGCAAATCAAGAGCAATCTGGAAAGCAAGAGCGGTAGTAAGTGAGGTGAAGCGAGTGGAGACTGCTGGAGAAAGCTGGCCGAGGACGCTTTGGTTTGGGGAGCCGACGAAGAGCTGGGTGCCGAGTGCAATCACATGGGTAGTAAATGATCATCCCTTTCTTCCGACTCCTCCCCCAGCTGGTCGTCCCCCACACCACGATATGCTGCAGGCACATTTCGGGGTTTAGAACGGCACACAAAGTCACATCCGTCCTGTAGAGAAGAAAACGAAGGAAATGTGATTGAGAACATCTAGCTATAGGGTAAGAATATTTACGGTCTAAGAACATGCAAGAACTGGTTTGTTGCTAGGAATAATGAAGAGAAAACCCAAAAGGTCTAAGGACTAGTCCAAGTTCTCTGGGACCAACAGGAGAAAACGTTTCTTCTAATCAGGACGAATCACCTCCCCCTATCTAGGTTTCCTCTCCAGCTATATGAGATTTAGGAGATCATCTAACCATCAATGAAAATGTTAATCCTCCACCCATGTCTTAGGCCAGAAACTGATGCAATGCCACTTTTCTACCAGGGCAACCAACTGTCTTGGTTTGCTGGGACTTTTGTGATTCTAACCCCAGTGTCCTATGTCCCGGGAAATACCCCCCCCAACCCCCAGTCTGGACAAGTCAGGATGGCTGGTCACCCAACCCTGCAGGCAGGCCACAGACTCATCCAGCTGCCATGTTACTTACCGCTACCAGGTTGCCAAGGTCCTGCCAGAAGGCTAAATGAGGAAATTGCTCCATCCCTTTGGCTCCTACCACCAATCGCTGGTACAGAAACCCCCCGATAATATAGACAGCGACCAGTGATGCAAACCTGCCGAGGAAGACAGACATGAATACTTAAAAAGCTGAGAACAGAAGGACCAGCAGATGGTGTAATGGTTATGTTGCTGGACTCACATAGTCTACTGAGATTGAAAGTCCCAGACCTGGTGACTTACAACTCAACGCCAGGTACGTATGCATGCATGCCCAAAATCCTAAGAAAAGAATGGAGGAGAAGACTGCAGCGTGGCCACCCCCAACTCCAGAGGGTGATTTCTTACTTTCTGTCTCTGGCGAGGGCAAGTGCCCTACAGGAAAAATTTTTTTTTTTTTTTTTAGAGGTTTTTGCCAAAGGGTGCGTGTGCTTGCCAGACAGAGAGAGACAGAGAGACAGAAAGCGAGAAATCACCCCCCAGGGGGGATGGCCACGCCGCAATCCCTTCTCCATCTTCCTCCCAGGATCTTCGGCACGCACGCACACGCGCCCGGTGTGAGTTTTAAGCCACCGGGTCTGGGATGCAAACCATGGTCGACTACATGGGAGTCCAGCGACATAGCCATTACGCTAACTGCTGGTTCTGGAAAAATTTCTTAAACAAATAAAAAACACAACAGTGAAATACAGATACTAAGGATATCCTCTATTTATTGGTCATTAAACTATGTTCTAAGGGAAAAAATAGTAAGATGTAAAATAAAAAGGGACTGGTAGTGCTCTTAAAAAATTAAAGAATGTTTAGTCTGAGAAAAGCAAAGGCTTAGAAGTGTGTGGTGCTTAAGGGTGCTAGACTCCGACACGGCTGACTGCAGTTCAAGTGCAAGACCTGGCGGCTTGCTTTCTAACTTTCCCCTTCTCTCTCTGGTCAAATTAAAAAGAAATAATTCTTTAAGAAAATCAACATTACACATACAATTCCATTTCTCTAAAGTTATAATAATCTGATAGTATAACACTAAAAACTCCAACCCTCCAGTAGGGGGGAAAAAGGCATCTCTAAATGTAAATACTTATTGGGTATACAAACACTACATATATATATATATATATTTTTTTTTTTGTGGGGGTGGGGGAGGGGAGAGGTTTTCACTATAGGGAGCGCGTGCTCGCCAGACAGACACAGAAAGCGAGAAATCAGCCACCGGGGGGATGGCCATGTCGCAATCCCTCCTCCATTCTCTCAGGCTCTTGGGCATGCACACACGCGCCTGGCATAAGTTTAAGCCATTGGGTCCAGGACTTGAACTGTGGTCTACTACATGGGAGTCCAGCGACATAGCCATTACACCAAATGCTGGTCCCTATTTTTATAATTTATGTAGTTAGAGTTACTTTTTTTTTTGGAGAAGTTTTTGCTATAGGGCGCGGCGTGCGCTCTCCAGAGAGAGACACACAGAAAGCAAGAAATCATCCCCCAGGGGGGATGGCCATACTGCAATCCCTTCTCCATTCTCTTAGGATCTTGGGCAGGTATGCACTCGTGCTTGGCCTGAGTTTAAGCCACTGGGTCTGCGACTCGAACCGCTGTCGACTACATGGGAGTCCTGCGACATTGCCATTACGCCAACTGCTGGTCCCCAGAGTTACATTTTTATAATTTGCCAAAGGGTATGTGTGCTTGTGGGTGCACAGGTGTGAGAGAGGGAGAGGAAGTAACCCTCATAAGGTACTGTCATGCTGCAATTCCTTCTCCATTTCTCTTCTACGGGGATTTTGGGCATGCAGGCACACATGCCCAGTGTGTGTCTTAACCAGCTGGATCTGGGACTTGAACTACAGTCGGTCATGTGGGATGGAGCTGCCTTAACCAGCAGGCCGTGGGTTGCCCCCACCCTGTGAGGGTTTTCACACAAAAGCACTGATCACCCCCACCAGTTACAGTCTGAGACACTTATGCACACACACTTTGTGTCCACGTACCAGCGAGTAGTGACTGACCTTAAAAGAACGGGGCGGGGGAGAAGGCAGGCTCACACTGACAAGGGAAGACACTCACGTGACGAGTAAGATAGAGCCCACGCTGAGGTGGGAGACCTCTGGGGAACAGGCCAGGCTGCTATCCATCTCGAAGAGATAGAAACAATCTTGGACTTTGCCTCGTTCTTCAGATACAGGGTTAAAATTGTCCTGAGAATGACAGAATTGAACATAACATCTATGTAGCGAGGAGCTTTCATTTGCCCCTAATCCCACAACAGAAAAAGCCCAAAGAACATGTGCTTTCTCCTTGTTCAGCAGCGGATTTTCTGCGCAGATGGAGAATGAATGTCTGACATGGAAAAGCTGAACTAGTTTTCTCATGGCCATCCCTGTGTATACGGCGCCCTGTGGATGGTTCTCCACCTCTGGTCAGCCCTTCTCACCTCCCTAGGCCTGTACACCCCAGGGCGCTCACCGCGAGGGTGTGTCGGTTACAGGAGATCATCACCACTGCCCGCCGCTGCTCCTTGCCGCAGTGGTTGTCATACTCATCACCTCCTTTATAGATCAGCATGATCCAATTACCTGAGGGGGGACAAGGAAAACAGAACTATGGGATGGGGGAAAAGGGGTAGCATGAAAGAGCTGGACTGAGGGAGTCAGTGAAGTCAGGTTTAATGAAAATAACCCTCATCGTGTGAGCTCTGCATACCAGTAATGTCAAGAACTCGCTTCTTTACAGAGCTTTCTGTTCCCTTAAGAAAACTCAGATTTTTGCTACAGGGTGTGTGCACTTGCCAGAGAGACAAAGAAACAGAAAGCAGAGAAATCACCCTCCATGGGGGATGGCCACACTGCAATCCCTTCTCCTCCTCCATTCTCTCAAGATTTTGGGCACACGTGCTTGGCTTGAGTTTTAAGCCGCTGGGCCCAGGACTTGAACCGTGGGCGGCCATGTGGGAGTCCATTATGCCACCTGCTGCTCCCAGAGTGGAACATCTTTAAGACTGGAATGCATTCCTCTTTAGTATGTATTGTGTTCAAAGTTCTTTTACAAAACAGCACTTTATTCAACAACCATGTGAAGTGAATAAGTAAAGATTCTGCTTTCAATTTTGCATAAGAAACAAGATCAAAATACGATTTTCCAGTCACAGGACTAAGAAATATAATAAGCTAGCTGTAGAATCAAGCCATCTGATCTATCATCCTTAACTGTTACTTTTTATTGTAGGAATAAACACCAGTGGATTTGCATATGGGAGGGAATTAGAGCACAGATGCTTACAGAGTCCATTTCAACAATATTTTATGACTTTTATGGGGAAATTTTTATAGACTGACTGGTTACAAAAAAACCTGATTTTTCTTTTTCTTCCTCTTGAGAGATTTTTGCTATAGGATGTGGGTGCTCAACATAGAGGCAGAGACAGTGAAACAGAAAGTGAGAAATCACCCCCCAGGGAGGATGGCCATGCTATAATCCCTTCGCCTCCATTCTCCTCTCAGGATCTTGGGCATGCATGCACATGTGTTCAGCATGAGTTTCAAGTCGCCAAGTCTGGGATTTGAACCATGGTGGACTATGTGGGAGTCAGAGATATAACCATTACGCTATCTGCTGGTCCCCCAAAAGCTTCATCTCTTCAACTCTAACTGGCAAACTATGATTAATCTGATGAGAAATGGTGGTGGATGATATTTTCAGTAAGTTTAGAACTCATTAAGTATCTATGTAAATAAAAGGACTCCAAACTATAGAATTTGGCTAGATTCGTTTTTTTGCATAAGTTTTCCACCAACTTTTAAAATTTTTATTTATTTTAAAAATTGGCTATAGGGCACGTGTGTTTGCTGGAATAGAGGCGCAGAGAGGGGGGGGGAGGGGGAAGTGAGAATCCTCTTCCTGAGGGTTTGGCCATGCTACAATCCCTTCTCTTCTATTCTCTCAGGCATGCATCATGTTTTCAAGCTGCCGGGTCTGGGACTTGAACCACTGAGCCAGCCACGTGGCATACAGCACCTTAACCACCGTGCCATCTGCTGCTGACTTAGCCCTCTACTAATTCTAAATACGTAAAAGTCCTGAGTTCTGGCTCTAGAGGAGCTGTGGAACCAGCATCCTGTGCTTTACAGCCTCAGGCGTGTCAACCACACCTAACACGTGATATACCAAGAAGACCAGGGAAGGCTAAAACATGTAATATTGTCAGGGATTGACATGGGACCAGTTAATCAACAGAGAGGGTCTTGGGGCCAGCAGGTGGAGTGGTGGTTAAAGGTGCTGGATTCCCACATGGTCGACCATGGTTTGAGTCCTAGACCTGGCGACTTGCCCTCTCACTTTCCCTTTCTTTCTAGTCAAATTAAAAAATACTACTACTTCTAAATGGAAACAAACAAACAAACAAACAATTCTTTTTTTAAAAAAAAGAGAGAGAGAAAGTCTTACTTCCATTGAAGATGTGTGTCTCATTGAGTCTCCCTACCACTGTCTCCTTCCCGTTACTTTTGTGGGGGAAGTGAGAATCCTCTTCCTGAGGGTTTGGCCATGCTACAATCCCTTCTCTTCTATTCTCTCAGGCATGCATCATGTTTTCAAGCTGCCGGGTCTGGGACTTGAACCACTGAGCCAGCCACGTGGCATACAGCACCTTAACCACCGTGCCATCTGCTGCTGACTTAGCCCTCTACTAATTCTAAATACGTAAAAGTCCTGAGTTCTGGCTCTAGAGGAGCTGTGGAACCAGCATCCTGTGCTTTACAGCCTCAGGCGTGTCAACCACACCTAACACGTGATATACCAAGAAGACCAGGGAAGGCTAAAACATGTAATATTGTCAGGGATTGACATGGGACCAGTTAATCAACAGAGAGGGTCTTGGGGCCAGCAGGTGGAGTGGTGGTTAAAGGTGCTGGATTCCCACATGGTCGACCATGGTTTGAGTCCTAGACCTGGCGACTTGCCCTCTCACTTTCCCTTTCTTTCTAGTCAAATTAAAAAATACTACTACTTCTAAATGGAAACAAACAAACAAACAAACAATTCTTTTTTTAAAAAAAAGAGAGAGAGAAAGTCTTACTTCCATTGAAGATGTGTGTCTCATTGAGTCTCCCTACCACTGTCTCCTTCCCGTTACTTTTGTTGATCTGCACCAGGCCTGCCCCAGAGGTACGGTTGCCAGCCTCTCGGCACACCCTGAATATGTACATGTATGTATCTGAGCCCTGGCCCACAGTGCTGTCAAAGCTGTAAAGAAAGATGGGAAGAAAAAAAAGAAGAGGAGAGTTATTGACTATCAGCTCCAGAAGAACCACCTCCCCGTCCTTTAAGGAACTAAAACAGAGTACTTGTCTACTTACTGAATGCCATAGCTAAATGAAATGGTGACTATCATTTGTTGATATATGAAGCATTCATGACTCTGACAGACCCTCCTAATTGCCAATGAAGGAATAAAACACCATGCAATGGGGCTGGCAGGTGGCGTGGTGGTTAAGGGCGCTGGACTCCCACATGGCTGACCATAGTTCTGGACCTGGTGGCTTTCTCACTTTCTCTCTTTCACTCTGTCCCTCTCAGATCAAATAAAATTAAATAAATAGTTAAATAAAATAATTATTTTTAAAAAAGATACACCATGCAAGACAGCTAGATATTCCAGATATTTCTAGAATGCCTACTGTAAGCTACACCAAAGTCTTAGCTATTGTTTCCCCATAAGTGTATCATGCTCATGGGATACCCCCCACCTTTTTTAAAGAGAGTTTTGCCATAGGGCATGTGCACTTGCCAGAGAAAGTGAGTGTGAGAGGGAAAGTAAGAAATTATCCCTCAGGAAGGATGGCCACACTGCTATCCCTTCTCTTCCTGGGATCTTGGGCATACACGCAAACGCACCCAGCATGATTTTCAAGCTACCAGATCCAGGACTTGAACCGCGGTTGGCCATATGGGAGTCCAGCGACGCGACTGCTACACCATCTGCTGGCCCCTCCCTTATTTCTTAAGGATCCCCTTCAGATTCATATATTTGGAGATGCTTGATCACATGTACAGGCCTAAACATGTTTATCTGATCCTCTGAGGTCCTATTATATGGAGATATAAAATAATGCCGAAATTTCTACAAGTTAGTATCTTGGATCCAGTCTTGGAAACAGTTATTCTTCTGTGAAGGAGAACTACATTGCTACTAAGAACTGAGCTGAGAATTTGCTCGGTATCACTAAAAGAGAGCGAGATACAATGGCCAAATAAGAGCCTCGTTGTTTATGTTCAGGTTAGAACTGCTCCCAGAAGGATTCACTATGCACGCATTCCCCCACAGTAATACTGACATAAAAACACCAATAAAGATATTTTCTCAAGCCCTCTTGGGTCTTCTCATTTACCTTTTGTTAAACAGTGGCTTTAGCCTCTTCAGTAGAGCCAGCTCTTTCTCTGACTCTCTACCCTTTTCTCCCACCAGGTCACAAGTTTTTTCTTCTGCTTGCCAGGATTCTCGCACCGCCACGGCCAGGAGCAGCAGCAGCAGTCCAGTCCTCCAGCAGCTGGGGCAGGAGAACATCCTTTTTGGAGAGAGCGTGTGTTGGGGAGCATGGGTAGGTTCAGGAGAGAAAGGAAAGAAAAAAGCACATGGATGTGCAGCAAATGTAAAGAAAGTGTAAAATTCTTTGGCATATGCAACAAACAAACATTTTAATATCTCTGTGACAAGAACACTTGTGGCAGGAAACTCATATAACTTCTGGTCTAATTTACCGGTGTGCCCAGAACAAACTAGGAGATGGGAGGGGCGTGAAGAGGGAAGGAACAAAAACGTATCAGCGGATCATGCAACCCAGTGGGGCCTCTGTACCATCTGATGAAAAGTTACACTGAGATTTTTCATCATTCGATTTAATACAACTTCAAAAGTACATTCCAAACCAAGGGCCCTCATTATGAAAACATTTAAATTACAATTCAAAAAGATACCTGATAAGGTCTAATTATTGACAGAAGTTATTATTAAAAATAAAAGAAGTTATGAAGGGGACCAGCAAATGGCGGAACGGTTACATTGCTGGACTCCCACATGGTCAACTGCAGTTCAAGTCCTGGACCCAGATGCTTCAAAGTTATACCAGTGCATGCATGTGTGTGTGGCGAGGCCATCCCCCTGGGGTGGGGGTGATTTCTTACTTCCTCTCTCTTTATTGGTCTCTGTCTCTCCAGAGAGCATACATGCCCTACAGCAAAAATCTCTTTTAAAAAAAGTCATTATTGGGGAACCAGCAGTTAGCGTAATGGCTATGTTGCTGGATTCCCACGTAGTTGACCATGGTTTGTGTCCCGGACCTGGTGGCTTAGAATTCACGCCGGGTGCATGTGCGTGCATGCCCAAGATCCCGAGAGGAGAATGGAGGAGAAGGGATTGCGGCGTGACCATCCCCCGGGGGGGGGGGATTTCTCACTTTCTGTCTCTATGTCTCTCTCTGTCTATCTGGCGAGCGCACGCACCCTATAGCGAAAAACCTCTCAGGAAAAAAAAAGTCATTATTAAGAAAGCAATATAAAATAAAGAAAGCAACTTGAATACTCTGGGCCCTAACTTATATCAACATTCAGAAGAATCTAAGTCTTTGTTCCTATTCACTTGAAGAACACTGAATAGAGGTAGACAAACTGCAGGATCCAAAACTTGACATTTTTCTACTTTAATGTTTCATTCTGGGGCCAGCAAGTGGCATGGTGTTTGAAGGCACTGGATTTCCACATCGCTGACCATGGTTCAAGTCCTGGACCTGGTGGCTTGCTTTCTCACTCCCTTCCCTGCCGCCTCGGTCTTTCTCTGAACAAACTAGAAAATAATGATAATAAAGTTAAATAAAAGAATTCTTTTAAAAAAGTTTCATTTTGGGACCAGCAGTTAGTGTAATGGTTATGTCGCTGAACTCCCATGTAGTCAAATGCAGTTCAAGTCCCAGACCCGGCGGCTTCAACTCACGCCGGGCGCGCGTGCGTGCGTGCGTACCCAAGATCCCAAGAGGAGAATGGAGAAGATATTGTGGCATGGCTATCCTCCTTGGGGGGTGATTTCTCGCTTTCTGTCTTTCTATCTCTGTCTGTCTGTCTGGCGAGTGCATGCACCCTATAGCACAATCATTCGATGATTAAGTTACAAGATGAAGAAAATTCACTAGGTCAAAATGAGTGGTTTGAAGTTTTCTGAAAGTTACATCAGTCTTTACCAGCAACACATCCCAGGGGTTTCTAGATTTCCAGAAGTACAGTTTTCCTTCTGCACCCCACGCTGATGATTACCCTCGACAATCGCCAACCCACTGTACCATGTAGTAAATCCAATTCACCTGCCGTTCTCCTGCTCTAGGAGGCTGTTTCCAAACTCACTTTCTTCCTCTAACCCATCTGCAGGCACAGGACACACTGATTTACCCGTGCAAGACTTCACTCTGGCATCTACCAACAATCCCTCAGGCAGTTCCCGCTCGCTACTTTCTTAACAGTATCACTCATTTTCCTGACATAAAGCTTTGACTCCTGCAAACCTTCCTCACTTGGAGTAAGTGTGACAAGTCTGGATTTTGGTTCAAATGCTCATTAAGTCCTCTAGGTCTTTCCCATGCTGGTCCACTCCACTGCATTTTTAGAATATAAAACTTGAAACAGGCAGGATTTAATGGGTACCAATGAGTTTAAAAACAGGGACAGGGAAGCTCCAACCCTGAGCCCTGCATGCACTCTGCTCACTATTCAAAGAGGTTAACAAAAATGAGACTAATTAATCCTTATCGCAGCCATACACAGGAAGTTGTCCGTGTTTTACAGATAAGAAAATGAAGACGGAGCTAGTGGAAGCCAGATGCTCTGGCTCTAGAGCTCCTGGTCTTTGTTTAATTATTACATATATCTCCTTTTACAATCATTACTTTGGGAAGATTCGGCAGCAAAAGCTGTGGGGTTTCTGCTTTGTTTTTAAAGTTTATTTATTCCATGAAGGTAGGTAGGTAGGTAGGTGGGTGGGTGGGTGTTTGTGTGAGGGAGGGAGAGAGGGAGCTGTATCCTTGACGGCTTCCTGACATTGAGATCCAACTTCAGCCATGAGAATGATGGGCACATGCATGCCTGGCTTCCTCAGGGAGGTTCTCCTGATGTGAACCTGCAAGCTTCCCATGTGGGTCTGCCTCACAGAGGCGCTGTGGTTTTCCACACCCCACTGTCTGCCCCTCACCCTCCTTTTTTTTTTTTTTTTGGACATAAGAAGAGGAAGTGACTCCTCACCCAGTTGACTGAACAGGAGGTGGAATAAAGAACTCAGACCTCAAACTCCCACCTTCCCTAAATTAACCCCATTGCTCAACACATAACTTGACTAGCTGATTCATTAAAAAGAAATACGAGATTCCTTTTGTTACAATGATTTATATACCATTTTTCTTATATGCTCCCAGGGCCTAACTTAAAATAAACATTTGGGGCTCTCAAGTTGGTCCCCCTCCTCCGTTTCCAGGAGCACTTTTCTGGAAGAATGCTCACACAGAAGGATGTGTTCTTTGGCCTCCAAATTGGTTCCTTATCTATTATCAGTTGATCTCCCCGCCTCCAGGCTAAAACAAAGAATCTCACATATCTGAGATGGGATGAAGAGTTAAGCAGTATTAGCTGAGTTGAATTATCTTTCATTTGCTTATTGGTTCAAAAGGTTAGAATAAGAATTTATATTATTCTCTATTTCCTGATTAAGGTTTGGCTACAAATTCAAATATTACTTTTCTTTGATTCAGTTGTAAATTCTCTAACGCTTTACCTAAATCGTTTGTTCATCTTCACAACCTAGAAAAGTAAATATAATTCCCCCCTCTTCTTTTTTTAGCAGCGTTTTTTTTTTTTCCCTTTTTGGTATAGGGGATGTGTATTTGCTGGAGAGACAGAAAGAGACCCATAGAGAGAGAGGAAGTGAGAAATTACCTCCCCAGGGAGATGGCCATGCCACAATCCCTTTTTCTTCCTTCTCTTCTCAGGATTTTGGGCACACACGCACACATGCCCAGTGAGAGTTTCAAGCCGCTAGACAGAAGACTCAAACCGTGGTCAGCCATGTGGAAGTCCAGTGCCTTAACCACTGCACCGCTTGCTGCCCCCAATTTCTCCCCTTTTAAAGACAACAAAACCGACGCTTACCATTACTTGTGATGTGCCCTAGGTTGTACAAATGTTAAACTGGTGTGAAGTTACAAAGCCAACTTAGAAAATTTTCACGTAAAGATATTGGCTGGAAAAACTTTTAACAAACAGGTGCAACAATCAGGAAGAATATGAAATGGAAGGGCTAAATTGTCCCTGTACAATAAGCTACAATTAGACTCTCAAGGTATACTAGTTAGTCTATAATAGACACTTTATAAACAAGGGGCAGGATTATATGATCTTTGGGACTCCCCCCCTTCAATTTTCTTATTCTATAAGACAGAGCTATCTGGCAAGGCTAAAGGGTTCTCTTTTATGTGGACCGCCACTGACTATGCCAGGAACCGGGAAGCAGTTTACATCACTGGGCCACGGTAGCACTGACTCCTCTACCCCTCAGGACTAGCCATGGCCATTTTCAATTTTTTAAATGTAATTTCTACTCTTCCCACTAGCTCATTTTTGATGTAGCAGCCCTTATTCCTTTCCTCCAGGAGCCTACACTTTTAAAAGACCAGGACCAAAGCCATCAGGTGGTGTGGTGGTTAAGGTGCTGCACTCCCAGAAGGCTGACTATGGTTTAAGTCCTGGAAGTGGCACCTTGCTTTCTCACTTTCTATTTATGGTAAGTGCACGTGACCTATAGCAAAATAATTATAAGTAAAATAATTATAAGTAAAATAATTATCTAGAAATATAAATAAAAAAGCATGCTTAATGTTACAAGTACTAGAGACCCTCAGAGAAGCAGCTGTAAGACCCATAAGCGGAAGCTCCCTACAGAGAGGCACAGTTAACCCCTCCATTCGCGGCTCTCCGCCACACCATACTCACGTCCTCTTCGAGGGCTCCGGAAATTCTCCCTCCGTCTAGTGTCTTGACCTTTCAACTGCTTAGAGTCATACCTTCTCTAAAAGATGCCACGTGGTGCCTCCGTCCATAAAGCAAGCCAAGGCTGCTTCCAGTATCCAAGCATCCAGGAGCCCCTCTACGGGCTCCATACCTGGGGTCCTTCCCTTCCCTGCCTTCCAATGTCGCAAATTCCCTCTGGTCTTTCCCCTCTCCTTCCTGGAGTCTGTGCCTCCTCGACCTCGCGCCTCCGCCTCCACTCTGCCCTGGGGCTCCCTAGGCCGACCTCAGGCAGAGTCGCCGCTACACCAGACTGGGCGTCCAGCTGCTGTCACGGACGCCGAACCCTGAGCACCCAGCCCCCTTCTCCACCTCCACGCCCCTCACACTCACGTGTCACGGGCAGAGGCAGTTGCCGAAGCTCAGAATCCCCGAGGACTAACTGCCTGGGGCTGG